AGTATTTACCTGTTCTTACGTTTTTGGAACCCTCTGAACGGAAAGAACCTTAACTGCCAGTACAATTAGATCCTTTAAGGTTTGGTCCAACTGCTAATGGTTTGAGTTTAATTTTATAAGTGGACTAAAAAATCTTACACATTTCTCAACGTGAGGTTTGAGTTTGTGCGTTATAACTAAGCACAATCAAGGGGCTAAACGACATAATCATTTTCCTTATATATAAAATAGCACTGTGACCAGCACATTTGGGACGAGACTTTCCTGCTCCCTCCCCATGCTCCCATCCTTGCTCCCGCGTACGTGGCTTTATTTGATTGGAAAAAAGTAAGGCCCGGGCCCACCCCGTTAAAATCAGGGGGGTGATTGTATTAGAAAGGAAAAAAACAGTCGTAGGATGAAGTAGGAGCACGGATGGGAGCACGGGGAAGGAGCAGCCAAGCCGGATCCGCGCGTTTGGCGCCGCTAGATGTCTTTTATATAAATATAATTGTTGTTTTCGGTTTTTGACATAGTATCCAGTTTACAAATTATATAATTATCTTTCATAGCAAAATGTTTTTTTGTGACTGCCATACAAAAATGTTAACAAAACATAACTACAAAATATTCTGAAATGAAATCCTGATGAGTTAAATGATATTTCTTTTACTCGTCCAGTCAATAGATTTTAGGACATAAAGGCATATGGCCGATACAAATAATCTATGATCTGTTTATGCAGCGGCCTCATCACTAGGGACCAAAAGCAATTTAAAAACTACACAAAAAAATGCAAAAAGTAAAATAAAAATACACCTTGGCTCTTCCCCTGCTCATCCACGTTCCATTGTAATTAATGTAGTGCGGTTCTAGAACTATAAACCTCATACTCAAATAGGCCTCGAGTAAAAAGCATTAATTCACCAGAAAAAAAGAAAACACAATAAAAGTGGAGTGAATTTTTCATATTCCTTTTTGTGTGTGGATAATTGTTTTACATTTATCTATTAACTTGGCATATTTTTCTATAATCATGGTTATCTACCTTCCATGTTGCATTGTCGATAAATTGTTGGACTTAGAAGAAGGAACACCCGGTATACATTTTTTCATTTGTTGAGTTTTCAACTAAGCATATATGGAATATAAATATTGATAGCTCCTTTATAAACTCCACTTTTTTGCGTTAGAAAGCGCCACTGTATCTCCGTCCGCCCTCTCATCGTTTATGATATTATTTTCTTTTAAATGAAAGCGGCAGGGGGGGCATCCATGGTTTTTCCTTCTAAGAATAGGAAACTGAAATTTAGTATGCAAGTACTTGAAACCAGGTGAGATTGTGAATCTACTCCTCTGACCGAGTGAGATAGGCCCTCTTCAGTTTTGGGATTGAAATTGCACTACTCCATTTTTGCAAGTCAATCATTAGATAATTCTACACATCCATACTTACCTTGCTCTAATTTTGTCCGCCCCCTCTACCCATGTAGTGCAATGTGTGGAGCATGCTCAATTCAAATTGCTAAAACATTTTATTTTTGTTTATGATAATTGAGAATGAATTGGAATAATGCTTGTGTAATTATGTTAGCAATTTTTGACAATGTAAATCACGAACCTTACATGTATGAGCCACAAAAAAAATTGATTGGACCCCACAATTTTTTTTGAAGGGGCAAACCCTCAAACTTTCTGTAGTGTACGTAACATCAATGGAGCAACTGAAAATGAGTTGGAAGAGGTTTTTGTGTGCAAGTCACATATGACTTGGATCGGCATGCATCGATTAATCTTCTTATTATAGACACTTAGATCATGACACCGATTGAACTTTTCTTGCCACTACAAACAATCATCTGCCAGATAGACATGTTATCTATTTTCTGGAGTGTAGCTAAGCCACTAGGAAACAGACTTTCGCCCCTTTATAAATAAAGGCACAAACAGCCGAGCTGATATAAAGTTGTGAGGAAGACCTCAAAGTAGCGGGTCAGAAACAAAAATGGCCTCCGGGCTAGTGGCACAAGTTCTACTAACTCATCACCAAAGCAAGAACACATGAGACGCCACACCTAACCTGAGACGATCAATACTACTAAGCAAGATTGGAACCGAGCTATCAAGGGAAACCACCGGGCACCTTGGTGCCGAACACAACGAACCATCTCCGGAAAGGGAAGACTCACCGTTGAGACAATCCACTTGCTTCGCACTGTGGAGCACTGCTCTTGCCAAGAGATAGCAAAGGATTGAGAACAAAGACCACGAGACACATCTATAAGATAGGAGTACATGGGGCCACCCTTCACCAAAGTCGAGGATGCACCAGGCCAGGGATAAGGATCCTAAAGACGATGACCAGTTGCAACCGAAAGGGACTGGGGCTCCACGACGATGCCCTCAAGAGGGAGATGACACCAAGCGCCACCGATGTAGCGCCCAAGAGGATGGCCAAGGGTTTTCACCCTGGAGCCCTGACATCGTGAGGGTACCCACAACAATGCCCCCAAGTGGAAAGTGACACCCGTAGGCGTCGCTTTCATCAATGCGAAGATTTCTCTCTAATCCTCACATGTGCCACCCATGGAACCAAAGTTGCCGACACAACCCACGAGGATGAACCGCTGCCGACACTGCCAGGCCTATAGATCTAGACCAGGGGGGCACCACGGTTGAAGCTGCGCCAACAACAGGGTCACCTAGACCCCCTCGCTATCCACAGCCAAGAGGACACACCACCACCGCTACTACGCTACCTGTCGCAGAGATCACTGCACAACCTTAACATCTATGACTGCTGCCACGACATCCCAACCCAACTTCCCTCCACAACCGACACAAACGATCCACACTAAGCAAGCACCTTAGAGTAGATAGTGCAGCCCCGAGATAATTCAACACATCCCGAGCGGTACTTGCGTAGGGGAGACCACCAACCCCAGAGGCCAGATCTCGACTGGACCTAGCCGCAAATCATAGGCGCAACAAGGATCAGAGCTCAAATGTTGGTAGTCGGCAAGCCATTGACAGGCCGACTACCAACATAGTGGCACCTAGGCAAGCACAAATACATTTCGTGCTACCGTAGTAGCAGGCCTCTCAAGGGCCAGATCTAGTCGTCCAAATCTGGCCGAGGACAAACACCGAGGTCCACCAGCCCTACTCCGAGCCCCACTAGAGCCATCGCCTCTAGCCGGCAGAGGTCCCCGCATAGCCTGACCTACATTGTTGTCCCGCTTAGCTCGCCATCGCGGCAAGGA